GCCGCGACCGGGACCGTGAAATATTCTGTGGCGGTTCCCTTCAGGGGGTGTTGAAACCAGGGCCCCGCCTGAGACATCCTCACAACCTGCTCTGGTAGCCAAGGATGTTGGGACAGAAACCAAGCAAACCATTTGAGGCATCTCCACAAAGCGGCCTCGAACGGGGCGTGCGTGAGTCTCACCATGAGTAAGTCTGAGTAGGAGTAGGTCTGAGTATGAGTAGGTCTGAGTAAGAGTAATTTTGTGTGTGAGCATGTCGGGGTATGAGTAAGTCTGAGTGTGCGTCAGTCTGTGTATGGGTAAGTCTGGGTATGAGGAGGAGAGGAGAGGAAAAGGAGAAGGAGGAGTAGGAGGCGTCTAAGTAATAACAAGAACCCCATCTCAGGATATGGAGAATAACAAGAACCCCATCTTAGGATATGGGGAATTACGATAAGGAGTAATACGAAAAAGAAGAAGAGCAATACGAAGAAGGACGAGGAGGAGGAGGAGGAGGAGGAGGAGGAGGAGGCGGCGCATTTAGAAAACATGGAGGAGGAGGAGGAGGGTCACGCGCAGGAGGGGGAGAAGGAGGACGAGGATGACGTGAAGGACGAGAAGGACGAGGAGGAAAAGGGGGACGAGGGAGGAGGGAGCAGGGAGGGGGCAGGACAGAGAAGGGGTGAAGAAATACGGAGTAGGAGGAGGAGGAGGAGGAGGAGGAGGAAGAAGAGGACGAGAGGGATAAGGACAAGGAGGACGATAGGGAGCAGGAGGAGGAGGAGGAGGAAGAGGATAAAGGGAGAGCGGCACTGAGGAGGAGGAGGAGAAGGACGAGGAGGGGAGGATGAGGAGGAGGAGATTGAGGAGGACGAGGGGAGGAGGAGGAGGAGGAGGAGGAGGAGGTGGAGGAGGAGGAGGAGGAGGAGGAGGGCGAGGAAACGGAGGAGGAGGGTCAGGAGGAGGAGGAAGAGGATGAGAAAAAAGTGAGGAGGAGCATGTGTAAAATGTTGAGGAAAAGGGTCGCGCGCAGGAGGACAAAGAGGAGGCAGCGGAAGAGGAAGGCCAGATTGTCAGAAGGTGAACGTGCTGCCTTGCTCTGGCGTGACGTTCTGGTTCCGTCTCTGGACGTTGAAGAGGGCGACTCATCGCGCGGCTCGTCCGACTAGATTCGTTCGGCTGGGTTATCGGCTGCCTCGTCGACGTGATCCCCGATCCCGACAGCCTGGGACATCGCGTCTGATTCACCATCTTGGTCAGCTACCCCTCCTGTCATTCGCCCCTGGTCTCCGAATGCTTTGCCGAGGCTGACCGCAGCTGTGTCCCTCGGAACTCCCGCTACTGATCTGGCCTCGCGTGGCGAAGAACGAACGCCGATCATTGTTCAGGGGTTGGTTGATGCTGGTCCACATGTGAGCGGAACGAGTCCAATGATGGCGCCGAGCCGTGGTTTCCCTCTACATACTGCGCACTCATCGTCCCTTCTCACCGCTGACGTTCCCGAGAGTGCTCCTCCCCCTCTCCGTTCGTCGCTCATGAGGCTCCTGTTGCTGTTCTTGCTGCTGCGCCTTACCTCCTCTCTCACTCCTCCTTGGGGGCCTGCGAGGGCCCCCCTCCGTGCCTGGCAAGGTGTGCGCACAGGCCCCTTCTCATGCCCACGTCTTGACGCTCAGCGGAACGACGCGGTTGACAAAGCCGCGAAGCGAGCAACTCTAATGTTCTATAGACCCAATCAGACCTCCTCCTCCTCCTCCTCCTCATCATCATCATCATCATCATCATCATCATCATCATCAGCATAATCATCATCATCAGCAGCATCATCATATTTCACCACATGATTATGAGCTCTGCTCCGCCGCTATCTTGAGCATCGTGCTGCTGTGCTCCCGCGCTGACCAGCCCTGGCCCCCCAAGAAAGATCAGAAGAGGTTGGGCAGGCCAGCGAGTACTACTCAGCCCATCGGGACCGCTTCGGCCCCCCACGTGTGGGACTTTGGGGACCGTCGTCCTGTCCATCCACCTCCCCCTCCTCCTCCTTCTCCTCCTTCTCCTCCTTCTCCTCCTCCTCCTCACCGTGCCCCATGGGGCTGCTGGAGGACAGCCAGGAAGCGGTCCACAACTGGGAGTATGTTCGTGGCCACTGGATGTGAGCGCCGTGTCGAGTGCGCGCCAAAATAATCAGCCACCAGATGGCTCGATGAAGTTAAGTGAAGTTTCCTGGCTCGATTAATGCAGGGCTGTTCGTTCTGGCCGAAAACCAAAAAAATGATTTGCCTTGGGTTATTGTCTTGAGATTTAGAGTACCCTCATAAGAGTCACATATGCTTTTCCTACTCAGGCCTCGGATCGGGCAACTCAGGAGAGTGCAAGCTGAGCCCACCAAGTAGTGGAGCAGCCTCACCTTGGCCCAGAACTCTCAACCTTCAGCACCCCACAAGCGGAAGGACCTCTGCAGTGATTTTCAGGCCGCCGATCCCCTTGGAACAATTTCATAGGCAGGCTCTTCGACAGGTTGCCCAAGCCCGCGACTTCGATCTTGCCTCAGCATCGTCGTCGCAGGCCCCCGACCGTGAGGCACGGAGCCCTCTTGTCGCCACGACGGAGCAATCGTGGTGGATTATCTGCTCCGAGAGCCGAGCGCTGGCTCTCCTCCCTCCTCCTCCCTCCTCCTCCCTCCTCGTCCTCCCTCCTCTCCTTCTTGGACGCTCCGAATCTCGGATGCCCACCAGACCGGACGGCCGCGCAGCAGCTCCGTGTGCTTCGTCGCCACGGCCCCGTGCTTGAGAGGGTGCAAAAGCTCTCCAGGCGCCCTTGGTGGGCGTATCAGGCGCCGCCCCCAGCAGGCAGGAGGACGACGAGGACCCACAACGACGGGCGACGACGACGAGGACGACGACGACGACGACGACGACGACGACGACGACGGATGACGACGACCGACTGACCGACCGACCGACGGACCACCGTCGACGACCTTCGTGGGCGGTGGGACGTTGGGGCCTAGCGCCCCCAGTTCCACTGTCGGAGGCGACGATAGGGGCGAATAGCCCAGGGGCGAGCATTACACGCATCCCTCCGGGAGCTTCGCCGAAGGCACGGGTCATCGGCGCCCTTGGATACATGCATTGCTCTCGGCCCCCCGCGCGGCGGTGTGGATTGTGGACGCGGGCGGTTGTGTCGGTATGCGCCTCCCCTTGCCTCCCATCATCCCAGAGGAGGAGGAATTGAGTAAACAAGAGGGAGCAGGAGGGATGGGGGGAAGCACGAGCGCGAGGAGGAAGAGGGCGGAGGAGGAGGAGGAGGAGGAGGAGGAGGAGGAGGAGAAGGACGGACGAGGACGGACGAGGAGGACGAGGAGGAGCAGGAGGCCACGGGCAGGAAGAGGTGGTGGAGGATGAGGAGGAGGAGGAGGAGGAGGAGGAGGAGGAGGGGGTCAGGACTGGGGTGAGAGCCGGTGCAAGTGACTGGAGCGACCCCGAGGGCGGAAAGGAAAAAGGAGGATTAGAAGGAGGAGTTCAGGTTAGGACAGCACCGATGGGAAAGACGCTCGCGCCACGGCCCGTCTGGAGGAGGCGGAGGAGAGGAGGTAGGGGGACGGGGCCATGGGGCCAGAAAACTGGCTCACCTGAACACCGCGGAGCCGCTGAGGAGGATCACCTCCTGGCGCCCGTGCGGCCGCGAGCCGCCGAGCAACGCGAGCACCCGCAGCCGCTCCAGCGTCGCACGGCGAAGCAGCGCGGCGACGTCGGCGGGGCCAGAGCGAGGCGCCGCACGAGCACGGCACGATCCGCGGCATCCCCGCCTGCCGCGGCAGCAGGGCCGTGGAGCCCAGCGCCCGCAGCTCCCGCCACGACGCCTGGCGACCGCCTGCCCGACTGTCGTCGTCGTCGAGGGGCGCCACGTCGGCACCTCGGCGCCGCGGCGATGCCGAGCTCGGCGGCGGCTGCTCGGAGCCGCCCCCTCCGCGGCGCGCAGCAGGCGCACTCCACTGCTGGGGGGGCCCGTCGCGAGGCCGCTGGCAGCGTTCGCCGCCAGGAGCGCCCCACGTGCTGGCTCCTCGGCAGCCCGCCAAGGCTGCCCCTCCTCAGCCTCCACCTGAGGCCGAGGGCACCGTGCGGGCGGATCCCAACCGGCGCGCGGTCAGACGTCGGGGGCGCGGGCGCGCGCGGCCAGGCAAGCGGGCACGCCTTGAAACGATACCGGACGACGACGACGACGACGACGACGACGACGGCGACGACGACGACAACGACGACGACGGCGACGACGGTTAGAGTACATACATTCAAATACAGGATAAAGACATCTAGCGCACTACAAGCCAATATTGGACTACATTAGAGTATATAGTATACACGACATTAACATCATACATCCGAGTATGATGCGGCATCATGCCCGATATCTTCATCTCATAATTTACACATCTACTATACTAGAATGTACAATAATATTGCAGAATGGCAGATCAGATATTATACGATAGCACAGTATATTACAAATTACTAGAATGCATTCGAACATGGTCGTGCATTCTTACGATATTAAAGTACCGTATAGCATAGTGCACACGATCGTAAACTATAAAGTAGCAAACACCGTGGTACTATATCATGATGGGTTACCTCTGTTGTTCGCCCAAGAATCATACGATGGAATAGATGGTCTAAGTTAATATGACATGCTAGCATACAGTGGAACGCAAGTGTATACATAATATTATGATATAGTTTGATGAAAACCAAACCATGTACACATGCAACGTACACGAACACCAAAGCCTTTGACAGAAAACAGTTTATTATACTACAATGCAGTTTCATGTAGAAGATTAGTCTGCAAATTAATAGAATACGACATATACGTGCGTGTCTCTCTCTCTCTCTCTCTTTCACCGCCGCCGAGCAGTACAGACCGCTGTGTTCCGAAGGGTGCAGCTGGATTGAGGGAGCTGCCGCTACCCCCCCCGCCCCCGCATCTCCATCCTCCTCCGCCTCCTCCTTGTGCCCCGTGGCGAGGTCAACGATCCTCAGAGTGCCCTCCCCCTGCAGACCAGGCGCGCTCAGCCCTTCGCGCCCTGGGGAGATCGTCGTCGTCCTTCCTTCCTCCCTCATCCACATCACTATCATCCCTCCTCCTCCATCGTTCTTCACCTCCTCCTCCTCCTCCTCCTCCTCCTCCTCCTCCTCCTCCTCCTCCTCCTCTGTCGTTCCTCTCTCCTCTCCTCCTCATCCTCCCTCCTCGTCGCTGTCGTCCTTCCCTCCCTCCTCCTCCCTCCGCCTCCGCCTCCTCCACCTCCTCCGCCTCACTCTCCTCGTGCTCCACCCCATCCTCGTCACTTCCCTACTCTCCTTTTGCTGCTTCCCGCCGTCGTGTTCCTTCTGCCCCACCTCGCCGCCCCATACGGCGACAGCAGCAGCAGCACGTTTGCCCGCTTTGCTTGTGGCAAGGTGGTCCGCTGGCACAACGGGTGGTCCAAGAGGTTGCCAGCTCTTGCGTCCCCTCTCTCATCGCACCCTGACTCACCATGCCGCGGTGTACTGCAAACGCTCTCGGTGTCCATCTTTCTTGTGTTTTGTCAATGGTCGACCAGGCTGCGTGACCGATGCGAGATGGCAGTGAATTCCCGGTCCGCCTGCCCCGTGGGTCGCCTTGAGCAGGCTTTCCCGCCTGATTGGTGTACGCCGCTGCTCGCGAGGGCCCCCAGTGCGGGTATCGTTCAAACGGGCTGGTCTGCGCACGCGCGAGCACATGGTTGCAGCAATTTCTATGTATCCGTCTGAATGCAAAATTTGCCCAGACGTTCGTTAAGGAGATTTCGGCCACTTTGCAGGACAGCTTGCCTAGCTACTGCACGTTTGCGAAGGCAGGACTGCGAGTCCGCCCCTCCTATCCCAGTACCTCTTTCTGTTGCTGGTGCGTGTTGTACTTCTGGCTTCTGCCTGTGTTTTGAGCTGGTGATGCGCGTAGCAGCCCTTTAGCAACCACGCTGCCCACGCTCCCACTTCCTCCTCGCCCTCCTCCTCATCATCAGCATCATCACCATCATCATCATCATCATCATCAACATCATCATGACCATCATCAGCAGCAGCAGCATCATCAGCATCATCATCATCAGCATCATCATCATCATCATCATCATCATCATCATCATCATAAGCATAATCAGAATCATCATCAGCAGCATTATCATCATCATCCTCTCCTCCTCCTCCTTCTCCTCCTCCTCCTCCTCCTCCTCCTTCTCCTCCGCCTCCTTCTCCTCCCCCCCTTGACCCTTTCTCGCAGGATGCCCCCGGACCCCCTCTCCTGCCGGAGGCCGCCAAAGGGCCAAACATGTCCAAACACCTCGTCCCTCCTCCTCCTCCTCCTCCTCCTCCTCCTCCTACTCCTCCTCCTCCCCCTCCTCCCCTTCTCCTCCTCCTCCTTCTCCTCCCCCTCCTCTTCTTCCTCCTTCCTCCTCCTCCTCCTCCTCCTCCTCCTCCTCCTCCTCCCTCATCTTCCCTTCGACCTCCTCCTCCTGCTCCTCCTCCTCCTCCTCCTCCTTCTCCTCCTCCTCCGCCTCCTCCTCCGCCTCCTCCTCCTCCTCCTCCTGCTCCTGCTCCTGCTCCTGCTCCTCCAGCAGCCTGGCCGCCGTCCAGAGCCCCCCGGCCAGCGGCCAGTCCAGTTTCAGTGGAGTTACGCCGCTCCGGCCGCTCGCAGCTCGGCCGCCCGGCCGGCGCCGTCTGCGCCGAGGGCGGTGCGAAGCTGCTGGGCGATGGCCCTGTGGAGGGCCACGCTGAACTCCCGGCCCCAGCGGCTCGCCAGAGCGCTCGCGGCGGCCGGCGCTGCCTCCTCACCCAAGAGCGCCGCCTCCCCGCGCGCGAGCTCCCAGAGGTGCTGGATGGCGGCGCGCCCGTGCCCGACGCCCGTTTCCAGGGCGAGGGGCAACATGCCCCACGGGGCGCGGCCTGGCGGCTAGCGCCGGTGCGTGTCGCCTTCAGCCTCGGCGTTCACCGCGCCGTCGCGCCCTGCCGCGGCGGCCAGGGCGCGCTCGTCACCGGGTACGCAGTATCGCACGGTGGCGTCGAGGAACAGCTGGGGCCGTCCGCCCACTGAACCTCGAGGTCGAGGATTGCCTCCTCCCTCTCCGCCCGCAGCGCGGCTCCGCAGCTGCCGCAGGGCGCCGCTGGCCGGTCCGGCGCGTGGCCGCCTGCATCGCAGGTCGGGCAGCGCCACCGCCAGCGGTCCCAAGCTGGGCCGTGCGTCTGGTGCTCCACCCGGAAGCCGCACTCCGCGTGAATACGGCCCCAGGCGCCCTCCAGGTAGCCGCTGCGCGCCTTGCGGCCGCCTCCGCGGGCGCAGCGCCAGGCGTGGCGCGCCCAGTCGCCGAGCGGTTCGCCGCAGCGCTGCCCGGGCGCGCTCCCCGGTCCGCGCGCGGTTAAACAGAAGGTCGCGCCACAGGGGGCAGCGGCCAAGCCGAGCAGCGTGCACGCCGTGCTTCAGTGGTCGGCGTCGTCGAGCCGCTGGGCGTCCAAGCCCGGCGAGGCCGTCTGCCAGGCGCCAGCGTGTGGCCCGCCGCAGGAGCGGAGGAGCGCCTTCGCCTCTCAGCCCCAGGGCCCCCAGCAAGGTGTCGTAGTTTTTGTTGTCGATCCTTGCTGTGAGGGCCTTCTGAAGCTTTCGCTGCGGCGTCTCAGCCGGCGTCCGCCAGGCGGGAAGTTCGGCCGGGTCCGCGCCCAGGCGAGGCCCGAAAAAATCCGGTAGCGACCGACGTTACCGGTCGCTACCGATTCCGCGCTGAAATCCGGTACCTGTCGCGATCGGTCGCGATCGGTCGCGGATCGGTAGCGGATCGGTCGCGAACGGTCCCCGAGCAGTCGCGATCGTTAGCGATCGGTCGCGATCGGTAACGATCACATCGGTGTCAGTCGCGATAGGTCCCGATCGCAACCAATTCCGATCTAAGAACGATCTGACGTCAGACCATTGTCAGATCGCAATGTTTCTCGCTAAAGGGAGCGTGGGTGCATCATCGTCATCAGCCGCATCAGAACCATCTCAATCACCATCACCATCAGCATCAGCATCATCATCATCATCATCATCATCATCATCATCATCATCATCATCATCATCATCATCATCATCATCATCATCATCATCATCAGCATCATCATCATCATCATCATCATCATCAGCAGCATCAGCATCAGCATCAGCATCAGCATCAGCAGCATCAGCATCAGCAGCATCATCATCAGCAGCAGCATCATCAGCTCCTTCAGCATCATCAGCATCATCAGCATCATCAGCATCAGCATCAGCAGCATCATCACAATCACCATCATCATCACCATCATCAGCAGCATCATGATCACCACCATCATAATCACAATCAGCATCAGAAGCATCATCACCACCATCATCAACAGCATCAGTATCACACCAACATCAGCATTAATTGCCATCACCATCACCATCACCATCCTCATCACCGTCATCATCAGCATCACCATCATCAGCATGTGATAGGGATGTTAACAAAGATGAAGATGAAGATGAGGGTGATGATGGTGATGATGATAAGGAGGAGGAGGAGGAGGAGGATGGGGGTGGCGGTGATACCGATGTTGCAGTGGGGAAAGGATGTCAGAACGGGCGCGACGGCGCCTGACATCCTCTTCTCTACATTCATATCCATCCTTGCTCTCCTCTCTTCTCTTGCAGTGTTCGGACTTGAGATGGATCGGATTTTCGGGCTTTCGTGTGCGAGTAAATTGCGAGAAAGCCTCAAGCGGGAGCCTCCTCCCTATGGGGTCCGCACTTCATGTTGGCAATCCGAGCGGGTCACCGGAAAACTCTGGCAGGCATAGCAATTGAGCACCCCAAGGGTGCGAATCGTGAGGATGTCTCGAGCGGGGGCCTTATCTGTGAGTGAGTTGCGAGGAAGCCTCAGGCGGGAGCCTCCTCCCTTGGGGGTCCGCACTTCATGTTGGTAACTCGAGCGGATCATCGAAAAATCCGCCCAGACATAGCACTTGAGCACCCCAAGGGGGCAAATCGTGAGGATGTCTCGAGCGAGGGCCTCGTCTGTGAGTGAATTGCGAGGAAGTCTCAGGCGGAAACCTCCTCCCTACGAGGTCCACCCTTCATGTTTGTAATTCGGGGGGGTCGTCGGCAAACTTTACCAGGCATAGCACTGGAGCAACACCAAAGGCGAAACTCGTGAGGATGTCTCGGGCGAGGTCAGCTGGGTTGTTCGCGAACAAGAAACGCCTCCTCCACCCCTCTTTCACGCCAGGGTGACGGATGATGATATGATGATGTTTGGATGATTCATGATGATGATGATGATGATGATGATGATGATGATGATGATGATGATGGTGATGGTGATGGTGATGGTGCTGGTGCTGGTGCTGGTGCTGGTGATGATGATGATGATGATGATGATGATGATGGTGGTGGTGGTGATGGTGGTGGTGGTGCGGGTGGTGATGTCGATGTCGATGGCGATGACGACGACGATGACGATGATAGTGATGATGATGGTGGTGGTGGTGTTGATGATGATGGTGATTATGGTCGTGATTGTGATGACCCTCAAGATTGTGAGGGTGACGACGACGATGGTGATAATGGTGATGGTGATGATGACGATGATGATGATGTTGGTGATAATGATGTTGATGATGGTGATGATATCCGTTTCTCGGCCCCTGGATTGTGGTTTTGTTTTCTCTGGTTCTGGTTCGTTTTCTCGTTTTCTTGGCCCCTGGGTCGTGGTCTCGGCGTCTCGGGCCCCGGTCCGTTTTCTCGTTTTCTCGGCCCCTTGGTTTTTGTCTCGTTTTCTCGGCCCCTGGTTCGTTCTCTTGTTTTCGTTTTCTCAGCCCATGGGTGGTGGTCTCGTTTTCTCTGACCCCGATTCGTTGTCTTGTTTTCTTGTTTTATCGTCGCCTGGGTCGTGGTCTTGTTTTCTCGGATCCTGTTTTGCTTTCTTGTTTTCTCGGCCCCTGGGTCGTGGTCCAGTTTTCTCGGACCCTGGTTTGTTTTAGTTTTTTTCGTATTCTCTCT